GACGCAGCGCATAGAATAACGCCCAGACAGCCGCGGCACCCGCCCTGGTAGGGGCGCTGCACCCATTCATACCACATCCCCTCAGGGCCCCCCTCTGCCCACACCCCCATCCATAGTGCCTTTTGTGATTTCCAGCTAGGAAAGAATTCCACACTTAAAGGAAAGTTAACGATATTAGCGTTGATACCGGCTCCCAGCTGTCCTAACAGGGACTTCCCCGCTGCTGACGGCTTCTCCGCTAGCTGTGTGCATGCGGCTGCACACACTCACACTCCTGTTCAGAACTCCGGTGCTTCCTAGGATCGGCCGTGCTCTTCGCCTGCCGCAGACGCATGGCCACCTCCGCCGTGATGCCAGGACAGGGCAGGTGCCTGCTGGAGACAGATGTCCCCACCCTGGCTTTGTTCTGGCCTCAAGCGCCTGGGGCTGTTGGGCAGAGAGCAGTGCAGAGCCAGGACCCCAGGGGCTGGGACCTGCTGTTCCCACCATGAGGGGAGGGAGGCCATTGCCGTTAGCACCAGAGGCTCACACAGACACCAGGGTGAGGATAGCCAGAGCCACCGGAAGTCATAACAAAACCTTGAATCTCCAGGTGAGCAGAGGCCACCCCTGGCCTGCATTGTGGGGAGGGGCTCAGTGCTCAGATGCCTCTCAGGGTCGGGCTCATTCAGACACGTGGCTGGGTCTGTCCAGTCTCAGGCGATGGGCACGGGGCAGGGGTCTAAAGCTGGGAGCAGACACTCAGCCCCTCTCGGAGTCCCACAGAAGGGCAGCTCCGGAGCTGGCCTGGGCCAGTGGCAGTACCCAGAACAGACTTTCTCCAAAGCTGCCTGTGAGATGGGACAGGGGCTACAGGTCCACTCCTCATTTTTCCAGACATAGTAGACTTAAATATTCACCATCTTTACCTGGAAAACTGCTTTCACAAGAGCCCATCTGACCACGGGAGCAGAAAACACTGGAGTCAGTGGACTGCTTTGTGGATCCCCGCCAGGTGGCCCCACCAGGGCTCACAGCACAGGACTGGCCTTCATCAGGGCAGCTCCAGCTCCAGCTCCGGCAGAGCAGAGAACGCCCAGCTCCGTTCCCAGCCGTCCAGACCGCAGAAAGCAGCGCAGGACCCAGCTCTGTCCTCACAGAACGTGTGAGGTGGGGAGGCCCCTCACATGCCTGGCAGGGGACTGGGACTCCCCAAGACCCTCAGAGCACCAGGCACCTGCCCTGGCAGTTAGGGAGGTGGGACTTATGAGACCTTCATCTGCTCTAGACCTTCAGACCAGCGTTATCCCCCGAGGAGGGGAACGTGGCTGCAGGAACTCAGGAGCACTGGAAAGAATACGGTGCTTGGAGTCACGGACCTTCAGAAACCTCAGGAATCCAGGCTCAGGAAATGTCTTTTCTGCCATCACAGAAACACTGAGAAATGTGACCCTAAGCCCCGCAGAGCCCAGGGCTGTCTGCGATTCAGGCCTGGGCACCAGAGAGCTCGAACCTGCATCTGGGGTGGGCTGGGGGGCTTGGCGCCAGAACACTAGGATGGACAGGGCCAGGCTCAACCCAGCTCAGTGCCACTGGGGAGCACGGGGTGGCTGGTTCAAGCCGCATGAGCCCTGGAGAATGGGGCTTCAGAGAGTCCCTCAGACCAATGAAGAGAGCAGAGTGGGTGCTGTGGAGCAGGGTGGGAGGCTGGGTTCAGAGCAGCCCTGCTCCCACCACCAGACCCTGGCTGCCTCTCTGCCCCCAGGTCCCTGCCCCTGCTCTGCGGTCCCAGCCTGGCCACAGCTCATCCCATGCCCATCCGGGATGGAAGGGGAGGCCCTGGGCTGGGGTGGGGGGCATCCATGAGTCAACAAGTGACTGAGCAGGGGTTGCATCACCTCGATGACGCGCACGCCTCCCTGCAGAGGGTCCCTCGGCTGACTCAGGAGGGGATGAGTGATGGGTGTGAGTCATCACTCGCAGAGCCAGTGGTCACTGGAGCCGTCCAAACAGACTGTCAGTGTTGGTGTTGGCAGGCGCTGTGGGGATAGACACGCTCAGGCCTGTGGCTGCAGTCGGGGAAACCAAGGCCCTGCTCCCCTGCAGCCTGCACACCGTGCACGGGAGGCCTGCCTCTGCTGGACGACGTCCTCCACGCTGCCTTTGCCCTCAGTGTGTGGACCCTTCAGAGTGTGGCCCAGCCCCTCCTGACCCCTTGGGGCACACCCCAGCCACAAGGCACCACACGCAGCCACCTAGACCTCAGGCAGCCTGGGAAATGTGGCTGTACATCACGGCTCTGTGCCAGCATACACGTGTGTGTGCACGCATGTAGGTGTGTGTAGGGCTGTCTGCGAGTGTATGCACGTATGGATATGGGGTGTGCATGTGTGTGTGTATGCCTCTGTGTGCACGTAGGGGTGTGTGTGCATGTATGTGTAGGTTTGTGTTCTTGTGTGTAGGGGTGTGGGTGTGTCTGCATGTGTATATTATGTGTGCAGTTTGCAGGGGTGTGCATGTACGGTTGTACACATGTGGGTGGTGTGGGGGTGGGTGTGTGCATGGGTATAGATGTGCATGTGTGTGTATAGGTGTGCCTATGTGTAGGTATGGGGTGGGCAGATGTGCATGTGGGTGTGTGCGTGTGTGTAGGTGGGGATGGGAAAGTATGCATGTGGGTGTATGTGTGTGTAGGTGGGGTGGTTGGGTGTGCATGTGTGTGTCTGCATGTGTGTAGGTGTGGGGGATAAGTGAGTGTGCATGTGGGTGTGGGTGTATGTAGTTGTGGGGGGTGGGCAAGTGTGCATGTGGGTGTATGCATGTGTGTGTAGGGGTGGGGGCGGGCGAATGTCCACGTGGGTGTAGGTGTGGGGGTGGTTGGGTGTGCATGTGGGTGTCTGCATGTGTGTAGGTGTGGGGGATAAGTGAGTGTGCATGTGGGTGTGGGTGTATGTAGTTGTGGGGGGTGGGCAAGTGTGCATGTGGGTGTAGCATGTGTGTAGGGGTGGGGGCGGGCGAATGTCCACGTGGGTGTAGGTGTGGGGGTGGTTGGGTGTGCATGTGGGTGTCTGCATGTGTGTAGGTGTGGGGGATGGGTGAGTGTGCATGTGGGTGTGTGCGTGTGTGTAGGTGTGGGGGTGGGTGTGCATGTGGGTGTGTGCGTGTGTGTAGGTGTGAGGTGTGGGGTGTGGTCGAGTGTGCATGTGGGTGTGTGCATGTGCATGTAGGTGTGGGGTGTGGGCAAGTGTGCATGGGTGTGTAGGTGTGGGGGTAGGTGGTTTTGTGCATGTGTGTAGGTGTGGGGGATGGGTGAGTGCATGTGTGTATATGCATGTGTGTAGGTGTGGGGGGTATGCATGTGTGTGTAGGGGTGGGCGTGGGCGAGTGTGCATGTGTGTGTAGGTGTGGGGGTAGGTGGGTGTGCATGTGGGTGTCTGCATGTGTGTGTAGGTGTGGGGGACAGGCAGGTGTGCATGCGGGTGTGTGCATGTGTGTGTTGGTGTGGGGCGGTGGGCGAGTGTGCATGTGGGTGTGGGTATATGGTGTGGGGGATGGGTGGGTGTGTATGTGGGTGTATGCATGTGTGTGTGGGTGTGGGGGTGGGAGGGTGTGCATGTGGGTATGTGCATGAGGGTGTGTAGGTGTGGGGGTGGGTGGGTGTGCATGTGGGTGTCTGCATGTGTGTGGGGGATGGGTGAGTGTGCATGTGGGTGTGTGCAAGTGGGTGTGTAGGTGAGGGTGAGTGGCTGTGGGTGTGTGCATGTGTGTGTATGTGTATAGGTGGGGGGGTGGGTGTGCATGTGGGTGTATGGGTGTAGGTGTGGGGGGATGGGCGGGTGGCATGTGGGTGTCTGCATGTGTATGTTGGTGTGGGGTGGGTGGGTGTGCATGCGGGTGTGTGCATGTATGTAGGTGTGAGGGGTGGGTGGGTGTGCATGCGGGTGTGTGCGTGTATAGGTGTGAGGGGGGTAGGTGTGCGTGCGGGCGTGCAGGTGTGGGGTGGGTGAGTGTGCATGTGGGCGTGTCCTGTATGTGTGAGGGTGGGCGGGTGTGTGTATATGTAGGTGTGGGGTGGGTGGGTGTGCATGCGGGTGTGTGCATGTATGTAGGTGTGAGGGGTGGGTGGGTGTGCATGCGGGTGTGTGCGTTATAGGTGTGGGGGGTAGGTGTGCATGCGGGCGTGCAGGTGTGGGGTGGGTGAGTGTGCATGTGGGCGTGTCCTGTATGTAGGTGTGAGGGTGGGCAGGTGTGTGTATATGTAGGTGTGGGGTAGGCGGGTGTGCATGTGGGTGTGTGCATGTATGTAGGTGTGAGGGTGGGCGGGTGTGTGTATATGTAGGTGTGGAATGGGTGAGTGTGCATGTGGGCGTGTCCTGTATGTAGGTGTGGGGTGGGTGGGTGTGCATGCGGGTGTGTGCATGTATGTAGGTGTGAGGGTGGGCGGGTGTGTATATGTAGGTGTGGGGTGGGTGAGTGTGCATGTGGGCGTGTCCTGTATGTAGGTGTGGGGTGGGTGAGTGTGCATGTGGGCGTGTCCTGTATGTAGGTGTGAGGGTGGGTGGGTGTGTGTATATGTCGGTGTGGGGTAGGCGGGTGTGCATGTGGGTGTGTGCGTGTACGTAGGTGTGAGGGATGGGTGGGTGTGTTGTGTGTGTGCACAAACTTCTGCCCAGCCCCTGCTGGAGGTCACTCTCAGACTCAGTATTTGAGGATGCTGAGGGAGTGGGGGAGGGCAGCGGGACCCTGGACTTGGAGGCAGTGGTCTTTGGTGGCGGCTCTGCTCCTCCTGGCCCCAGGTGCAGCTGATGGGGTCCTGACTCCATGTTTCTGGCCAGCAGGAGTCTGTGGGGGCAGCAGCAGCGGCCTGGTGGGTGGGGGCCTCCAGGGGAGGCAGGACTTGTGGGGTGTGGACCCCGGCTCCTCCAGGTGTGGGGGCACCGGTGTCCCTCCTGCTGTGCTGGTCGCTTTTCAGATTTTCCTCCCACTCGTGGTGTCTCCCTTTATTTTATTTTCGCTTTCAGTGCTTCTGGTTTCTCCACTTTTACGTCTTAGACTGAAATTTGGCAGAAAACGAAGCAGCGCAGGACGTCTGTGAGCCAAGACCCCTCTGAGGACAGGCTGGCTGCTGACTCGCGAGCACAGCGGGAGCATCCAAGGAGAACCTCCCCGCTGCTGAGTTTGTTTTCTTTGCCAAGTGGAGCTGTGGAAGCCGACGGACCCTCCTGGCCGGCTGCAGTCGGGCAGCGCAGAGCCTGTTGGAAAGCGTTTGTAACACCCACTGAGCGGTGAGACGAGATGGGCGGCGGCGTGCTCGCCCTTTGTGAAAGGGAACAAAAGTGCTGTAGGATTCCTGGCCTGGGTGGAGGCCCATTCACATGACCCCCAGGGGCTGGGGTCACCCCCTGAGGTCCCCTCTGTGGCTCCTTTCCTGCTCTGGTGGGGCTGGGGGAGGTGGCTTAGCTTCGGCTGCACCCTGCAGGGAGGAGCTGAGATGCGCCAGCACATACGTGTACGCACGCGCGCGCATTCACCAGCTCCTCACCACAAGGGTGCAGCCTCAGCTAAGCACACACACACCCCTACGTGCACACACCTGCACCGACATACGTACACACACACCCATGTGCACACACCTGCATTGACATACACACGTGCACACACAGACCCATGTGCACACACCTGCACTGACATACACACGTGAACACACAGACCCATGCGCACACACCTGCACTGACATACACACGTGCGCACACAGACCCATGCGCACACACCTGCACTGACATACACACGTGCACACACAGACCCATGTGCACACACCTGCACTGACATACACACGTGCACACACAGACCCATGCGCACACACCTGCACTGACATACATGCACACACACAGTTCTAGGATGACCACCCTCACCATCTCAAGACTGGCCATCAGGAGCCACACTCAGAGGCCCGGGGGCCTGAGTGGCCAGCGCCAGCAGGCAGGGGCACGGCAGGGTGGGGGGACCGGCGAGGGCAGCTGGAGTGGATCAGCCAGGGCCGCTGGAGGAGACCAGGTGCCGCCAGCCCCACAGTGGCGTGAACCTTCCACCCATGAGGCCGAATTGCTTGTGAAACTCGGCCCCAGCTCCAGCCTTGCGGAACCAGTGGCCCTCCACCCTCCACAGGGGCAGCTGAACTTCCAAAGGCGAAGGCTGGAATCCAGTTTTTGGAATAATTTCCAGATGTTTCTGGCGTTAAAGTGCCTCCCGTGAAATTGGGGGTGCAGCTGGGCTGCAGACCTGGGGTCTCTGGTCTACCCACTGGGCATATTTGTCATCTGGTCTGGCAACCATACCACTCCAAAGAATGCTCTCTGCCCTCCAAGGACAGCAGCCAACCAGTGGGAGGCGTATACTGGGCAGGGGCCCTGATCTGGCTTAGGGAGGGCCTTGCCTGGCTAGAACATCCCTTCAGGCCCCAAAGCTTTGGCACAGGCACCTTTGGGAGCCTGATCCCAGTGGCACCGGGCCGACAAGCACCCTTGGCAGCCCACCCTGCCTGGGTGGACAGACAGAGGCAGCCTGGGACCCACTCACCATGAGTCCCTCTGGAGTCCTGGCTGCCCCACTGTTAAAGGGGGCACTGAGCACTGCCCTGACCCTGGGCAGCACACTCATGCCATGCACACATTTGCCCACAAATGGACACACATTTGCCATGCACACCACACATGCCATGTGTGCACACACTCATGCAATACACACTTGCCCACAAATACACTTGCCATGCACACCACACATGCCGTGTGCATACACACATGCCATGCACATGCTTGCCCACAATGCACACACAAACATATTCCATGCACACACACACGGGCCCCACATGTATGTGCACTCAGGTTTGCACAGACTCAAGTGCATGGACATGCCAGTACACGAGTACATCCCACTCATGGACACCTGCATGTGTACACGTACACACACGTACACACACACATGTAGACGCAAAACCCCAGCCCTCCACACACAGCTACAGCACCAGGTGACAGCCGTGCAGAAAGGGATTGTGGAGACTCAGAGTCGGAAGCCTGGGGCTGCACCGGGTGTCCCTCACCTGCTGCCAGGGAGGCCCGGCAGGGAAGGGGAGGGCATGAGCGAGCGGCGGGAATGCAGAACCTGGGGCGCACATGGGAGCCAAGGCCCCGCACGCCGAGCCCCCTGACTTGGTATGGCTGGTGCTGCCCACTTCAGGACACAGGGACCATTGCCCAGGACCCAGGTCTCCTCAGTGACAGCCCCCAAAAGCTCCAGACCACAGGGCCTCAGTTTCCCCACCTCCCTAGACAGGGGCCCAGTGTCCCTAGGCCATGATGACGGGTGTTCCCCAGAACTGTAGTGCCAGCCCTCCCCTCCCTAGGCCCCCAGCCCGTCACTCCCCTGGGCCAGGCGCCCACCCTGCACAGAGCCGGCAGAACAACCACATTTGCCTGGTGAGCAGTCATCTGGGAAACTGGATATATTTGCAATTTTTAAAAAGCTCAGAGCCAACATGCAAAACGGGGCTGTTTTTCCAGTGGAAAGTGTAACACGAGCCCAGAACCACTCCTGCTCACAGAGGCCCAACCCCACCACCGCAGCCACGCCTGGGGCCAGGCTTCACTCGGGGCCCAGCCTGACCAGCTCCTGTGCCCCGGCCCAGTGTCGGCCACCCCCACACACCTGAAGCCTCAGACCCGTGTGCCAGAGAGGCTCAGGGCAGCTGCCCGGGGCAGACGTGGGCGCAAGGGCCAAGTGGGAGGCACTGAGGACCTCCTGCCAAGGCTGGGTAAGCTCTATCTCAGGAGCGGTCACTCAACTCAAGGGCAGCTCAGCACAGGCCCCTCTGCTCCAGGTGCCACGGAAAGCCAGCAGCTGAGGGCCAGAGCCTTTCCCTCCACAGGGCCCTTGTGGCCGACACGCCGTGGTCGAAGCCCACAGGAGAAAGGTTGCCTCTGGGGTCTGTGGGCCCGGGTGCCACCCGACGTGGCAGGACCTCATTGCTCTCACACTCCTGGGGCAGCTGGGATGGCCGCTGTGATCTTCTCACCTTGGAGGGGCTGCGCCCACCAGGCAGGGTAAACCTGCCACTGCTCATCCTGGAAGGAACGGCATGCCCACCCTGCCACCAGCTTCAGCAATAAACGCAGAAGACAACAGCCGTGACTGCAGCCTCTCCCCACACCCAGGAAGGGCTTTGGAAGGCAGCGCGCCCCGTGCTGTGTGGATGTTTGTGGAGAAGATCAAACAAATGGTGGCCCTCTGAGACCTCAGCTGCTGGTGCTGGGCAGAACATCAGAGGCAGCCGGGCGCGGTGGCTCCCACCTGTAATCCCAGCACTTTCGGAGACCAAGGTGGGCAGAACTTCAGAGGCAGCCGGGCGCGGTGGCTCCCACCTGTAATCCCAGCACTTTCGGAGACCAAGGTGGGCAGATCACCGGAGGTCAGCAGTTCAAGAGCAGCCTGGCCAACATGGCAAAACCCTATCTCTGCTAAAAATACAAAAATTAGCCAGCATGGTGGTACACGCCTGTAATCCCAGCAACTCGGGAGGCTGAGGCTGGAGAATCACTTGAACCCGGGAGGCAGAGGTTGTGGTGAGCCAAGATTGTGCCACTGCCCTCCAACCTGGGCAATGGAGCTAGAGTCTGTCTCGAAAAAAAAATTAAAAAACAGAATTTCAGAGAAGCTTCTGGGAATGGTGCCCCGTTGGTCCGCCTGTCCAGCCCCATGTGAAGCCGAGGCCCCTCCCTGAGCCCAGCAGGGCTGCAGTCCTCTCTGAGCTGACACGCACTCGGGGAGCAGGTGGGGCTGCTGGGGGAAATGGGTCAGGCTGTCTGGTGGGGCCCTGACCCAGACCTGCTGCCCTGTCTCCCGTGGCCCTGACCTATTTGGGAAATACTTAAGGTTGTGGCGTGAAACTTCCCAGCTCTTCATCTATTCCTGCCAGGGAAAATCCCCTGTTCCCTGGCTTCGTGGGGTGTCAGGGACAGGAGGTCCCACCCCACAGCTCTCCCTCCACCCCGCCCTGAAGCTCAACCGTCTCAATTCACCCTCGGCCAACACCACTGGGGCGTCCTTTGAAGTGCTCGGTGTCTGTGGAGGGGTTGTAGGACCAGCCCGGGGTGGGCCGGGGGTTTCCCAGTGCCTCCTCTACAGCTCCCCTGAAGTCAGGGACACACGCACCCTCTATCCTGAGTGTGCGGCACCCCTGGCCCTTCCCAGCAGGTAGTGGAGGGGGCAGAGTCAGCTCCCTACGGCCCAGAAGGGTCACGTGTGAGGCGGGGTGGGGGCCAGCAGGGCCTGCAACCTGCTCAGCTTGGCTCTGCTGCTTCCCTGGGTGAGCCTTGGGATGCCAGGGCAGAGGGGTGTCTGCAGCCTCGCCTGGGGACACCGGCCTGTCGTGGAGACTCTGTGACCCTGGGCAGAGCTGGGGCCACATGCTCAGGCTCCTCACTGAGTGACATCAGAGAGGCTCCAGCCTGCACTGAGTGGGAAGCACCGCAGGGGAGGCAGGATGCGCTGGGGTCTCCTGGCCAGAAGGCCACCCAGGCTGGCTGTGGTCCACCTGGGCTGTGGAGGGGGTATCCAGGAGGAGGCATCAGGAACGCAGGGCAGCCAGGTGGGCTGGGTCGCTGCAGAAACCAGGGGAAGTGGTCCTGGGGAGGACCCTATGTGCGGCCCCCGAAGTGCCAGGCAGCCACTCGCACCTTGGCCAGGCCCAGGGTGCTTGCAGGAGCCTGGCTGGGCCTCCGCCTCCATGGCCACACTCAGGTGGTGCACATGCACGGCCGTCGGAGCCTGGGCGGACCGCCCCTGCCTCGGGCAGGGAGCTGGGGTCCCAGACTTAGGGGCCCTATTCTCCCCAGCTCACGGGGCCCCAGATCCTTGGTCCCACCACGCTGGGCGGCCAAGGCTGCGCCCTCACTGGAGGGGGCTCCACAGCTGCCCCATCACCCTCCCTGGGCCGGGCCCCTCAGCCCTGGGGGCTCCACTCTGGCCCATGAATCAGTCCCAGAGTCGGCCGGCCCCTGTCTGCCTAGCACCACTCCAGCGACATAGTGACAACCCCCAGCCCCCAACAGGCCCTGCTGCCCCTCCCAGGTCCCTCCCATTCAGGGGGGCTGTCCCCAGCTGTCCAGCAGGTCCACACGACTGGGGGCTGAGCCCAGGCCCCGAGCAGGAGCTCACGGCTGCCGACAGGAAAGCCCTGCCTACACGCGTGTTCCCCTCAGGAAGTCCAGGCTGCCTTCCTACAGGGTCACAGCCAGGCCCCCGAAGCCAAGTAGGCTGGGAAGGAGCTGAGGCCGAGATAAGGACCAGCCCAGCAAGGGGGCTGCAGGGACCACCTTTCTGCTGGGCACAGGGGAGGCTGGAATGCATCCTGAAAGGGCTCGGGAGACGCGTGGACCTCTCAGCTGTCCTGGCTCAGCCCTGGGCCGGGAGACCCCCCCCAGGCAGCCGCTAGCCGGGGGTACTGCTACATGAGCGAGGCCCCTCTGGGGCTCCCCAGCACCCAACTCCCCGGCCCCGGCTTCACCAGGGAAGGAAGGGGTGAGGTAGGGGACAGACAGGGTCTCAATGTACACCCTACACACATGAGCACATATCCAAACCCCCATCAGGGGCAGAGAGTGAGACTTGAGGTGGCCAGGGACACATCCCTGAAGACCTGAAGGCCTGACAGTAGAGACCCCCAGTTGCCCTTTTTCAGCGAGGGCTGAGGGAAAAGGGGGGCTGCTGAGGTGCGTGGCAGGCCCCTACGCCACATCCCGGGGCCCTAGGGAGCGGCAAGGAGAGCAGAGCCCCCCAGACTGCCAGGCTGGGCACTGTGCTGACCCCGCCTCCCACTGCAGCCAGGAGAGGGCTGGGCCTAGAGGGGTGAGGGCAGAGTGTGGGCTGCCGCCTGGGGAGGTGGGTCTGCGAGGACCTGCACCTCAGAGCTGCCTGCAGCCAGCACGGGGCACACGCAGCCGCCACCACAAGCACCCTACAGGTCTAGGCCGGGCCAAGCTCCCACGAGTGCCTGGCACAGTCACCCAAAAGGTCAGCACACAGTGGAGGCGGGTGGGGAGGGCAGGAGGAGCAAGGGCCGGGGCAGGGAAGGGGAGGGCAGGGAGGGTGTGGGGCCAAGGGAGGGGTGTGGGAGCCTCCTGGGTGGGATGTTGGGTCTCAGGCTCATGGAGCAGTCAGGGTTGGAGCTTCCCGGTCCACGCATTAGGACCCTCATCCAGGGCCACCCTCTCAGGGCCCTCCGTGGGCCCAGCACCGTATCTATTCCTCGGTGGACCCACCCCACCCCAGGCCTTGCAGGGCCTTCCAAATTCCAGAACCTTCCGTACTCTTAACAGGGTGGCACTGGGGCTGTGCTCCAGGACCCACGTCCTGATGCCAGCCTGAGGCCGTGCCTGCTCCCCCGGAGCAGGGCCCCCAAGGCTCCTCTGCAGGGCCGGGCCCTGGCGGCCCAGTCCTGCCCGGCGGGCGGGGGCGCTGCTGGCTCACCTCTGGTTTCCTCTTGGCCTGCAGGCCGGGCGCCTCAGAACAAAGGCTGGATTGTGCCTCACTCGGGCTGATCGCCGCCCCGGCCGATGCTCACTCCTGCCTGCTTTCGCCCAGCAGCGCTCTGCGGACCTCTGTGCTCCCAGCCAAACGAGGCTCCTCCGACCAGGCCAACTCTCGTAGGCCCCGCCAGCCGGGACAGCGTGGCAGCACCAGCCACAGGCCAGGAGCCCGGTCACCAGTCCCATGCCATGAGGACCACGGCTCCTTCCCTCTGGCCTCCACACATCCCGGCAGTGGCCAGCCTCTCGCCTGTGCCCATGGGCACCTCCTTCTGTGCGGCCACTCAGTGCCATAGCCCCTGGCTCAAGGGTGTCGGGCCCTGGCCCACCCTGCCTGCACCCCCACCCCTGTGTCTGGCAGTGCCTACCACTGCCCACCTGCTGTGCCAGGCCCAGAGCCAGTGACTCTGTGGTCCCTCTGTGGACAGGCCTCCCTGACCCCAGGCCCTTGGGGTCCCATGCACAGGGTTGGCTTTTGGAAGTCAAAGAGGACCAGGAGGGGAGAGTGGCCAAGCCTCACCAACACTGCCCTGTCCTACAGGCCTCACAGCACGAGCCGGCAGCTTCTCCCACCAAGCATTTAGCAGGTGCCACTTCGCGCGAGCCACCCCAGCCCTTGGAGGCGGACAGGAGATCCAAGGGCAGGCACCATCTCGTCCCAGGTGGACCTGGGTATCCACAGGTCTGGTCCCTGGCTGGCTGGATGCCCACACTCAGGACCCAGCTCTGAGGAGGGATGGGGGTCAGTGGAATGGTACTCCAAGGCCTTGGGCCAGGAGGTGCCAGTGAGGTCGAACCTGCCCCCAAACTACCTGGGGCACAAGGGCAAGCCCCAAGCGGGCGCTATCCATCCGATCTCCCACCAGAGGAGCGGGAGGTACTGGGCTCTGGGCACGCAGCTCCCGGCTGGCTAGGCAGGGAGCGCCAATGTCACAGCAAGCTCATCTGGGCAGAGACTTTGGCAGGGGAGTCTGGGTCTGACACCAGTGTACAAGGGACACCCACACCCCAACACCCCCCAGGGCTGATTCAGCCCTCACTGGCCCCAGCAGAAGACCCCTCTGTCCCGTCCCACCCAGCGGGACCCAGCCCAGGCCCTGCGGTCCTCCAGCATCTGCCGCCCAGCCTCCACCCCCGACACCCGCTGTGGGAGCCCAGGCCGTCAAAGGGGCTTTGTGGCCAAGTGGAGCCGGGTGCCGATTGTCTTGGAGGGGCTCCAGGAAGGAACGGTGGAGGAAGAAAGAGGAAAAAAAAACTGGAGGAAAAAGCTGTGAACAGAGAAGGAATGTGCCTCTGTGAAGGCCGGCGCCACCCTGACCGCCCCACCCCTCCCGAGCCTGGCCCAGGCCGAGGTCCTCAGGCTCCAGAGCCACTGGAACTCACCTCCTGTCCACTCAGTCGCCAGCAGCTCATCCCTGTCACAGATGACGCCGAGGGTCAGAGGGCCCAGGTGGTTGCCTGGGGTCTGACAGTGCAGGGAGGTTGCCCGGCCCCAGAGGACTCTTGGCTCAGGGGCACTGTGGCTGGGGAGCTGCTCACAGCACTGGCCAGGCCACACGGAGGACGAGGGTGGAGGCTGGGGTCCTTGGGCCCTGCAGCCCGGGGCCAAGAGGGAATGGGGTGGCCACCCCTGGGGCACTCCACCTCCCTGCCACACATCAGAGGGTCAGAGGGCAGGCCGGGCACAGGCTGCATCTTGAGGGGACGATGGCAGGTGCCCGGCCCGATGGGAGGCCCACGGGGCAGGTGGCTCAGGGTGGGGCCTGCGAGGGTCTGGCTGGTCTTGCCGCATTGAAGGCGGTCTACCCTCCGTGCTGGTGCTGCCCGATGCCAGGTGCCCCTGGGGTCCCGGGCACAACTCCCCCACCCTGCCTAGCCCCCAGGGTGCTGAGGGTGGAGAGTCTCAGCCAAGGGGAAGCACCAGAGCTAACCCGGGTCAGTGGTCTGGAAATGGCCACTGAGATGCAGCTGGGCACAGGTGGGAGGGGCTGGAGGACGATGAGGCCACAGTCCTCACCCCTGCCCTTTTCTCCCCCACAGTCTAGGCGGTGGGAAGAGCTGCTTGCTGGAGACCCTGGACCCTTCCAGGAAAGTCAAGGTTAGGGTGGGCTCTGCTGAGTTCTCCTG